AAAGAAAGATGATGAAATAGAAAGACATGGGAAGAAAGAAAGGGGAAGACAGTTTCTTCTGGAAAAAATCGTCACGATTGGCCACTCAATCTTCAAATCAGAATGACTACACTTTTGAATAAAAGAGAATGACTCTCTGCACATTATTATAAAATGGAATTGTCCCTCAGTGCAATTCAAACAGTCAATTCAAACTTGACTAACAGAGGTACAATCCTCTCTGCCAAAACTCTATCACCTTCCACCTGGATGGGGCTTCTCAACACTCTAAGTACAACTGTATGATCCTTTAGCCAGTACATCTCCAGGATTATCTGTCCTATTTTCTGTGTRGTCTCACAACCCTTGCAGGCAGATTAATCCTTTTAAAGAGTGGGTGCTGATAATGGAAATACTTTCTGGCTTTAACAATTTAAACGTTACTCTAAGGTGTTGCCTTAAAAACATACATTCCTTTACCCCCTCACACACTATGGAAATCGTGCTAATATTAAATCCCCAGTAGTTCTACATTATTTTTTTAACAATTAAGTAATTTTGCCCTTATTCTGGATTCTTCTATTAGCTATGGAACTTGAGTTATTAAGATCATGAAGTGTTTGGAGATGGAGATATATTTCATTAAGTAAAGTTTATACGACAATGACATTAGTGGTTATATTAACTTCTAATTGAGTTAAAAAGCTGAGTTTTCTCTTTTTCTTTTTCCTTTCTTTTTTTTTTTGAGGTTGAAAAATTGCTCATGTTTTATAGGCATAACTAGGTTTGGATACCCAGGGATTTGGAACTGCATGCCATCTCTAGGATTCTAATTCCCAGGTTGTATTTTATTAGGAAGCTACATCTAAATGAGATGGAAGTCTTGGTTTTTTGTTCCTAGAAGGGTCATTTATTTGTCCATGTCCTTTTGGTTGTCCACTCACCAGTCACCCCTATCCTTAACTCTTCTTTCTTGCTATAAAAGTGTCCCAAATACAGAAGTTAAAAATGCCAGATGCTTGGGCTGGGGTGTAGCTTAGTGGCAGAGCACTTGCCTAGCAGCCTAGCATGTATGATGCCCTGGGTTCAATTCCCAGTACTAAACACACATGCACACACAAACCAACATGCTCACATCTTCATCTTACTTCCTGCTGGGATGGTCCTTCATGTCATGACACATCCTAGATACTAACATGTGAGTAGAAATCTCCTGGAAGTTTCTGGCATGAGTTAATGGAGAAGAAATGTCCTCTTGTACCCTCTGAACACCAGTAGTCAGGAGAACTGATGCCTGAGGCAGCACCTGCTCTGTGATATTGACACCACTGGGGACATGTCAGGTAAACTTTGCCTGAGGGTTGACCAGAGGCAAAATTGTACAGTTCCTAGGTTTCTGAAACTAGTTTCTAAAACTAGTTTCCTAGTTTCTGGGTGATGTTGGTGAGCCTTGCTCTGTTCCTTGTAGCCCAAAGCATCTTAATGGTTGTAGTATCCTTTCAACTAAGATTAAGATGTCTCAGAGGGTGCCCCGGGGAGGTGACAAACTCACTAAGCTCTCTGCCACTGTTCCATGATGGCGTCTTCCCACAGTAGCATGGACCTCAAGCTCTCCCTGCACCCTGATTCTCTCTATATATGACAGGTACTGTGTTCTCTGCCCCATGGTCTCTGTAGTCTCATCTAAGCCCAGAGTCACCAAAGAGGTAGAGAATTCTGATCCCCATTTCCAGGTGACAAAGTGAGCCTTAAAGATACTTTCTCCAAGCTCCTGGCAAGGCCACTAGGCTCCAGCTGAAAGGGACTGAGCCTTTATATGAAGCTGACTTGTGTTAACAGGCATACCTCATGAAGAGGTCGCCTTAGCTGCTCAGCAAAAGATCACTGCTGTTAAATAAGAATGGGGACCTGTATTGCCAGATCTACTGATTCTGAAAGAGAAGCTACTTATGAGATTTATAGAAAAGATTCAGACTTTGAATTGTTTTCTAAAAATGTTAAGTACAATATAAACCAACCTCCACTCCAAAACCACCAACAATAACATAAACCCAAGAAATGTGTTGTCCATTTGCCCGGGCTGCCCTTTCCAGACATTCCCTGTCTTCCAAATCCCTCTATAAGGTTATATTATATCTTCAGTCCCACTAAATGCATCCAATCACCCGTATCCCATCTTTAGGAATTCTTTTCTATTCCACCCTCACCCAATCTGTCCATTCTCATTCATCCCCTGTGTCACACCACTGTTCCCACCTGCAAGTCTCTCAACTGGTCTCCTTGACTCTCAGTTAAAACCTGATGGAGCTTTTAAAAACTCAGTTGGAATCATCTAACTTCTTCAAGCCACCCAGTAGAACAAGCAGATATCCAGATGCAAAAAGAACCACCTTTCCCCTTCCCCACAAAAAAAAAAAAAAAATCCAAATTTAAGAGCTCATGCTATAGAACTTCTGAAGGGAAGCACAGAAGAAAATTGTTCCTTCATTGAATTAGGCAGGCATTTCTTAAATAGTATTCCAAAAATGAAAACCATGAGAGGATGTATTGATGATTTAATATTTAAGATATAAAAACTTTTCTTCGGAAGACATTGTTGAAAAAAATGAACAAACTGGGAGAAAAATCTTTGTGAGACATATATATGCTAAAGACATACCCTAATATATAAAGAACCCTCAAAACTCACTGGTAAGAAAACTAAGAACCCAATTTTAAAAATGGGCACACAGTTTGGATACACCTCTCATGAAACAATGCATAGGCTTAGCAGGTAAGTGTATGAAAACTCAATATGATAAGCCAGGAGGAAAATGCAACTTCAAATCAGAATGAGATATCACTATATACCAATAAGGATGGCTAAAATTTAAAAGTCTGATACTAGCCAGTGTTTGTTGATCACAGAACAACTAGAACACTCATACATTTTTTTGGCATGCATGCAAATGGTATAGGCAGTTTCTGATAAAATGAAACGTACAATATGACCTCCCAGTTTTGCTTTTAGTTACTTACAAAGACAAAGAAAAACTTAGGTTTTTCAGAAAAAACCTTTACACAACACTTCTAGCAGTTTTATTTGTTATTGCCTAAAACTGAGACTAGCCCAAATCTCTACCAGTGAATGAATGAACAAATTAATGTGCAATTTCATACAGTGGGATCCTAATCTGTATTAAAAGGGAAGTACTTAGGCGAAATGACATTCTGCCCTATTTCATTCAAAAGACACTCTCAAAAAGCAAAACTATGAGAAGAGAAAGTAGATTACTATTTATTGGAAGTATGGAGATCAACTCTGAGAGACTGAGAGGCAAACTTTTGGGGTAATCATTGCTCTGTATCTTTATCGGTTGCCCAGTTGCATCCCTCTCTAAATCCTAAAAGCATATTTTTTAAAATAACTGAATTTTCCTTTCAGCAAAATATACCTCAGTTTACCAAACTGTAAAAACATCCTTCGGAGATCCCCTGTTTTGGTTGTAAAGTCTTTTTGAATTAAGCTATTAGGAACATGGGAGCTTATATTAAGGTATCACAAAGAATGGAATTTTATGAAAATTCTAAACAGGAGCTGCATAAACCTAGGGAAAGGGGAGGTTAAGAGTATTTATTTGGATCTTCCTTTTTTATAAACTGTGTATACTGAGCCTAACTGCCTTGTCCTCACCTGGTCTCTTTGGTCCAGAACCCCTCCAGTTCAGAATCCTAGGTGCAACTCATCACTCTGCCCACTGACTCACCTACCTAAGGAACTGGACTTGGGCCAGATGGCTATACACAGGGCAGCTCCAGTTTGGAGGGTGGGGATTATATTGGTAAATCCAAGGGCGGCATATCTTATACCCTCTGATCACTTTTAGGTTAGGTATAAATGAATATGTCCACACTTACCTCTCCAGCCTGGTCTCTGACAGATTTCTTGACTCTGTCCCTCCCCACCAGCTCCATCTCCAAGTTCTCTGACTAAATGTAGTTACTTAGTTTTATGACTAAGTAACTACAAGGTCTTTCAGGCTTTGGACTAAAGTGCATGCCTCTTCCTGGACCTTTCTTTAGCTCCTTTTTTGCTTTACTTACCATGTTTGATGTTCCAGGACTCCATGGGGGCATTACCATCACTGGAAAGTCCTTGAATGTGATGAGTCTCCTCACATCTGGACTCCAGAGGCAGCCTATGACTTTGCTTTAGAGGGTTTGAGGAGCTGAAGTATTTGGAATACTGATACACACGTAGATGGTTCTGGAGTCTGTTAAAAAATGCAGATTAACTCACAAGCTATGGATGCTATAGGACTTAGATAAGCATGGGAATCTGCAGTGTGAATAGGTTCCTCCTGGTCTTGGGGTAGGTACTATGGTTGTCTTATGATTGCAGATCTCTCCCTGCCCCACGTAGGTGAGCTGGTGGGTAGTCTTTTGTACAGATGATCACTGGTTTCCAGCTCTGCCTTCCGGGCAACATATGCATGCACCATGTGCGATGGGGGCTGGGCTGAGGGACAGCTGTGACCAAATGAGAGAAGTGAGGACCACAGCTGGTCAGAGCATCTAGCAGCCATCAGGATGCCACTCACCATATTCTCATTCTCTTTGCCAAGGCTACTGGCAATGTTTGAGATGGTGCCTGAGGCTCACAGTGAATCATTCCATTATTCCATTCATTTACACTACTGATAAATTCATTTGCATGATAACTATTTTTCAACATAACTTGTTCCACTTAATGCCTTCTCTGTGCTAGGGACTCCCCACTACTAGAAGGACACTAGTGAAGGGCACATGGTTACCACTATCACCATGCTTACAGTCAACTGGGGAGACAAATGTTAATCAATTCATTACTAATTAAAAATTAGAGTCTATCAGATTCTCTACTTTCAGCTGAATGAATCTTCTAGCTCATATTTGGATAATTGAATTCTTCACTGTCATGGAATCCTGTTTCTTGTCCTGAGGTCTAAATCCAGCTTATACATTTCCCGTTGGTGAGGTGCTTGAAACTATAAAGGCACACTGTCTTGCCTGAGGAGGTAGGTTTCTCCAGGATCATCTGTATATTGCCCGGCTGCTATCCTCCTGTAAGGAAGCATATAGGTAGGGATATTTGTAGTTTGGGGGATAGGAAATTACTAAGGTAGTCTGTCACAGGATTTGCTCAGCCAGGATCACAGAATGGGGCCAGTTGCAGCTTCTACAACTCCAGAGTGGCAAGTTCATGAACTTTTATCAGAAAGTAGTACTGAGTGGGTCCTGCTCACCGAAGTCCTCAGTGAGCCAGGAAATGTGGGAATGAGGGCCTGTCCCAGGAATTCTAGGGATCAATGCCAGGATGAGAACACTTGAAACTTATTTCAGTTGATAGTGATATCTAAAAACTCACACAATTTGAGACAATTAAATGCAATGTCTGGCCCTAGAAAAGATCTTACAATCAAGAGGAAAAAAAATACTATAAAGTATATCAGATCAACTGGCAAAACTGGAATATAGACCTAGATTAGATACACGTATCTTATCAACATAAATTCATGAATTTGGTAACTGCATTGTGGCTGTGTAAGATAATCTCCCTACTGGTAGAAAAAAACACACCAATGTGCAGAGGAGTAAGGGGCCATGGAATGTGGAACTTATCCACAAATGGCTCTGAAAAAAATACCATGTCCAAGTATGTAGAAATTTTCAAACATCTATAAAAGTCCCATGACCTGTCAGGCTTTCTGTCTGGAACAGGCATGGATTTCTGATCAGAGCACGTCTTGCATAGCTACAATGTTCAAAGCTTATAAACTTGCCCAAAGTTGGCTCAAACAGTTTTCTCTTTAATTTTCTTTTGTGTTCTTTATCTACAATAAGAGTCCTTTGTGCTCCTTTCTTCCAGGAATCTAAGATCCTTTCACATTATTCTCTCTTGATTTTTATCTTCTGGGATTCTGAACTTGGACCAAAGGACAGAAATTTTGGAGAGGCCCGTTTCAGTTATAGAAAAGGGTGACCTTTCGTTGATTACAGTGGTCTAAGGTGAGAGCAACTATTGCTGGAAACAAGAGTTTAAAACAAACAAACAAAAAGTGCCTAAAAAGGGTTTTGGGACAATGAACAGTTTTCGATTCTTGCCCTGAACTTACCAGCTACTTGACCTTCAGAAATCACTTGGAGATTCAGTTTCCGGCTCTGTACAGTGGGTATCTCCTAGGAATCACCTAAGAGGACCAGAGTGAGGGTTAAAAACGAGCATTCTTGAATGTTTTGCACAAAGTGTTTGCTCACTGAAAGTAATTTATTGCAATAGGTGTTTTTATAACTTCAAGACCCAGAAAGAGACACACTCAAAAGTCACGTTATCTGTATTACAACTTCGACACAATAGAGACATTAAGAATCATTTATGACAGTGATTTTCATTAATTCCGGAATCCGTCGAGCAGTCAATTTATGTTCCCGGTATGACCTCTTTGAATCCCGGGACATCACTTCACAGGCGGGCTTTATTCCCCAACTTCGAGGCAGCATTAAGGAAAAAAGAAGGGCTTCTCTACGCCCGCCTTCCAATACTCACACACACAGACGAAGAAACTGAGGCTCGGAGAAGCGAGGCCCTAGACTTGGCCGCCTGTGAGTAAACCCAGGTTGCCTTTCACCGGGCCAGGGACCGCCAGCCGCAGTTCGTTCTTCGTTTTGTCCGGGTTAAAGGATTTGAATTGTACAGTTAACACTTTTTGAGTTTCAAACAATTCTTTTACCCGTGCCTTTCGGGACGGGTCCGATTTGTCTTTCACTGGGGCAGCCGCCGGAGCTCGGCTGTCGCGGTTCGGTGTCGAGGGATCCCGGGGGCCAGCAGGAGGTGTTCCCGTGCGCTGGCCCGGGGCAGGAGGCTCCGGGCGCGTCAGGCCCCCGAGGCGGCTGGGCCCGCGCGCCCCGCGCCACGCCCTGCGCCCAGGCCGCGGCTCCTCCCGCGCTGGCGGCCGCCGAGCGGTCCGGGCGGCGGCGGCGGCGGGAGGAGGAGCAGGAAAAGCGGCCGGGGGAGGAGGCGGAGGCGGCGGCGGCGGAGGCGGAGGCGGGGAGGGCGGGCGGGGCCGGGCGAGTTTAAAGCCCTTCGAGGGGGTGGGGAGGCCCCGAGGAGGCAGGAAGGGAAGGGAGCTGCTGTTGAGAGGGCGGGCGAGCTTGGCGCTCGGAGACCCGCCGGAGCCCAAAGTTTCCAAGCAGCCCCAGGGCGGAGGCTGCAGTGCGGGGCGCCCGGGACAGTCCTGCACGCCGTCCTCGCCCCGAGGGGACTCTGTGCCCGCCGCCTGCTGCACTGAGTGTCGCCGGCGGCCACGCGGAGGCGGCGAGGAGCGGCGCCGCGGCAGGTACGGAGTTGGGCGGGGAGCGCGGCAGCAAGTTACTTTGTGGTCCGCGCCGCCGCGGGGCCCGGGCGGGCCGGGCGGGTCCCCGCCGTCATTGTCTGCGCTCTGGCCGGCTGCGGCCAGGGACGGCGGGCCCCGCGGAGGCGCAACGGACGGAAGGGCGTCGCCTCAGGGCCGGGGGCTTCTGCACCCTAGGCCCGTGGCGGGCAGTACAGTGAGGCGGGACGGGGACTTCGGGTACACTGGCGAGGCGGCGGGGCGCCCCGCCGGGCTCTCCCCGCTGCGCTCTCGACCCCTGGGGGGAGGTGTGGAGTCCGAGCGTCGCATTCTTGAACCATCTTGTCAGACGCCGTCGGCTAGGGGGTTGGGGCGGGGGCTGCGGTCAAGGCCATGCTCCCCTGGGCCGCCGCCCTGAAGGGTGGGCGCCCAGGCTCCCCAGGAGCCCCTGGTGTTCCTGCTGCGCGGCGGGGCCTCGGCGCGCGCTCCCAGGCGGGCCGGGCAGCGGTGCCAGACACTCCCAAGTCCCGAGCGCGGCCCAGCCTCCGACGGAGGATTTTCTTCTTCTTCTTCTTCGTGGTCCCGTGAAGTGACCCGGTTACCCGCCACTGGGGCCTAACACCAAGTTGAGGGCTCGCGAACTAGCCGCCCGCCAGCCGTGGAAACGTGATAAGAGCGGTACCGTTTGCAGAAGGAAATTTCTGATGCAACTCTCCGCCTTTGCTGATTGCCTCTCCAAACGCCTGCCTGGCGAGGGCCCTTGAGCATGTGCGTTATGGAAATTAGGGTATTCTTTACTTTTTATTGTGTTTGAATTTTCTTGGGGTTGGAAGAAAGGCCAACTTCTTATCGTTTGGTTTGATAAAATGTTGTGGTAAAGTAGGGGAGCCACAGGTGATTTTTACAGGGGCCTTGATCTTTAGGATGCTTTTGAAAGAATGTTTTCTTGAAAAAGGTTTCATTCAAGAGATGCAAAGAAAAGACCCAAACAAGTAGCGCTCGTGAGTAAATATGCGTTATTGCACAACTTTCTCTTTGCTGCTGTTTAAAAGGCCAGGCCCAGAAGACTTTGTTTCACAAAATGCTGATTCAGCTGTTTGGAGCCCCTGAGTTTCAAGAAATGGTGTTCTATTTAACGTTTCTCTCTGTTTTACTAAGAACACATGTTGTTAGCGCAGCAACAGGCATAGACTAGGGTTTATAGCACAATGATGGTAATATTTTAACAAGAGTTGACCTAGAGCTCCTCTTTCCAGGAGAACAGAGAGGTAGAATCTAGATTTTTACAGCAGAGTGGATTCTGACTAAGGTAATGATGAAGTGTCTATTAGGAAAGTATTTTTCGAAGTAAAAGTCCTGAATTCAAACGTTTTTTTTCACCAGGAATGATTGCTGATGTCCAGGTTTTTCTGTTAAAAATCAATTCTCCAGGATTCCTGCACATAATATTTGAGTTTTACTGGGAGCACTTGAAAGAGAAGGGCTGCACAGGCCAATCCCCAGATTACAGGGAGGGAATTTAAGGACAGACAGAGTTACATGCCCAGCAGGCATTGCAGTAACTGAGAAGTGTAGCCACTGATACTTTGGTAGCATTTCACAGTTTACAAGACACTTTCAAAAGCCTTGTTGCTTTTAATCCACTGTATAGTCCCCCTGATCCCCATTTTACAGGTCTGGAAACCGAGGCTCATGAGGTTAATTGGCACGCCTTAGGTCGTTTGGGCTGGCAAAGGATAGAACTATCACTAGAGCCTAAGCTTTGGATTCTTTTTAGTCCTGTGTGTTTTATGCTTGTGCAAAAGTACATCCACTGCTGAAGGAGAAATGGCATGGAGGAAGTACACCCTGCCACTCACACAGCTGGACAATAAGAGGCTGTGGCATGATGTTACTTAATCTGGTGACTCCCAGCCTTCGAGATTAATGCCATATTGGCGAAACCATTATCGATATTTATTTTTTATACTTGAACACACATTTGTTTTGGGAAGTAACTTTGATATCCATGAAGTCATAAGTTTGATATGGTAGTTATGTTTACGGTAATTAAAATAGAAAATCTGAGTACCCCTAAAGTCACCTGTTGCATATCATCTGTGGTCTGCATGGCTTTTGGAGCAGTGTTGAATTGGTTAAAATGGTTTTCATTTGTGGACCAGGAAACTGGAGCTGAGCAAATTCATGGCAGCTAACTGTCCCGGGCTTTGTGTGCTGCCCACTGCCAGGAATGGAACCCAGGGTAGCCCTGGCTCACTTTTAGTGACAGGGTCTGTGTCTTGTCAGTCTCCAGCAGGAGAAAAAAAATAAAGTTAGAATCTAAGTGCTGGCTCAGAACTCTTGATTTTGATGACTTAGCCGGGTCAGAGACTTTAAAATGTATGGAACTCAAACTCCTGAGTGAACAAAGAAATCTATCTTCATCTTGGAGCTGCAGATTTTTTTTGGTTGGAACACATAAAAACGAATGCTTTAAAGTGGCATAAGTTAAGGAACTTATTTCTTTGGAATTCTGTCCACCTTTTAACTGCAGGGGAAGAAGAGCCTACAGAATAGTAGCATTTATTTGAGATTGTAAGTGGAATTATGTTGCTAACCTGACAGAACTCAGAGCAAACTGCAGGGGATTTTGGTCCTGTTTCATAGGAGAGAAGCATGTGCATTTGCATGTTGACTGCATAATCCGTTTGTTAAAGTAATGTGGAGTTGCATGGGCTTGTGAGGAGAAAATATTTGCCTTTGATTTAAGTACTCAGTTGTAGGTTCAAAATTTAAATGAACTTTTTCTGTTAGTGGAGATTTTTTTTAATCTATCTTATTTTTTGCTTATCTATGGAAATTTATTTCCTTCTTTTCTTACTTGTTTTTAATTTTGATGATTTGGCTGGGTCAGAAACTTTACAATGTATAGAAAACAATCTACTTACTACTTCAACAAAGGAATCTATTGTGCCTTTAGTGCCATCTTAAAGAGTCTTAGAATTTCGTGGATTGTTAAGCATTTCTTAAGGTGAATCTTGGGACTGAATCTAAACCTTTCTTTTTGAATGTAAGCATTTAAAGCTAGAAGTTTCCCTCTAGGCACTGCTTTAGCTGCATTCCACAAGTTTTGATGTTGTTTTTGTTATTTTCTAATAAAATTGAGTTCAGAAATATGGGAGATTATGGAAGAAATTAGGTTGGTCAAACTATGTGGTGGGGCTTGGCAAACAGGTGCTTTGGGATTTGAGGTGTGTTTTTCAGGGTGTGCACAGTAATGGGTGTATGACTGCTCTGATCTATTTAAGCACTGGATGGTACTGAATTTGTGTTAATATTATTTGAGCAGTACACTTTTAGGGGGCTTTCTTTGTTCTCCCTTCTGGTTGGAAATCCTGACGTCTAACTGCCCTCCCAGACTCTGAGATGCAACCTTTCCTGCCACTTGTCTTTGGGAGGCTTTTGTCTACCCTCCTAGTGATACCAGGACCTGTTCACTGTGGGTACATAAAAGCGGGGGGAAGGGTAAAATCACCTGCTCACTCATGTAAAGGCAGACTGACAAGTTCTTCTTTAATAATGGAATGAAAAATGGTGTGATTGTCCTTTGAGAAGTCAGCAACAAAAACCATTTCTTAGGGTTATCAAAACTCATCTCAGAGGTAGAAATGAGTGGTGCTGGTTTCTGCTTTTGGCATATAGACAATAAGAAGATTTCCCTTCTTCCTATTTTAGAATATTAATATTTTTCAATCATCTGCTTTATATACGGATTTTCCTTGAGCAGACCTTAAATTCAAAGAGCTTTTTACTTAGGCTGGGTCCAGCAACACAATAGACTTTAAAAAAATATGCATTTTTAGTTGTTGATGGACCTTTATTTTATTCATTTATTGATATGTGGTGCTGAGAATCGAACCCAATGCTTCACACAATGCCAAATAAGTGCTCTACCACTGAGCCACAACCCCAGTTTTTATTGTTAATAATTACCAGGGCAATGGAGATAGGTACTGCATTTGGGTGCAGGTTGCCTTTCCCATCATATTGCGCCCTCTTTGCTTTGTTAGATCAAGGTAGCGGCTCACACTAACCATTCTATGAGGCTTATTGCCTCGATTGAACTGTTGGTCTTACCATTTACAAGTTTTGTGAGCCTGAAAAAGTTAATTAACTTCTTTCATAGAACAGAAATTATAGGATGGTTCATCTGTAAGTGTTGTCATGAAAGTAGAATGACATTAGGTTTGTGTGAATGATAGGGGCAGTGCATGGCACATGCTGACTTTGGTGGTGATGTGTCACAGTACTGTGCAGTCAGTC